GCCTGCCTTCCTTCCTTCCTTCCTTCCTTCCTTCCTTCCTTCCTTCCTTCCTTCCTTCCTTCCTTCCATCCTTCCTTCCTTCCTCCTTCTCTTTCTCCTTTTCTTTTTCTTTTCTTTTCTTTTTTTTTGGTAGGTTGTGGGGCTTGAACTCAGGGCGTGGATTCTGTCCCTGAGCTTTTTCAGCTCAAGGCTAGTGCTCTACCACTTTGAGTCACAGAGCCATTTCCAGCTTTCTGGTAGTTAATTGGAGATAAGAGTTTCACAGGCTTTCCTGTCTAGACTGGCTTTGAACCGCAGACCTCAGATCTCAGCCTCTTGAGTAGCTAGGATTACATGAGTGAGCCACTGGCCCCCAGCTGACACTTTTTTTTTAGCACTAAGTATGTCCCATGAAATATCTGGGGCATATTAAGAAATTGTTTGTTGTTTATTTGAAACTCAAGTTTAACTGAGTGGCCTGTATTTTATCTAACAAACCTACTCTATGTAGTACTTTGCCTTCTATCCACATTCTGTCTATCTATCATCTATTTATTGTACTGGGGTTTGAACTCAGCTCTTGCTAGGCAAGCACTCTACCTCTTGAGCCATACCCCCAACTCTTTTTGCTTTAATTATTTTTCAGATAAGGTCTTGAGTTTTTGCCCTGGACCATAATCTTTCTATTGCCATAAACAGCATAACTGGGATTACTGGCATGTATAGTACCATGGCCAACTTACTGATTGAGATAGGATCTTAATAACTTTTTGTCTGTGCTGGTCTCAAACTACAGTCCCACTGATCTCCGCCTCCTAAGTAGCTTGGACTACATGTGTGAGCCACTGTGTCTTTTACTTTTTAGATGTTTGCAGTGCTAGAGATGGAACCCAAAGCTTCATGCATATTAAATCATCTCTGAACTACATCCCCAGCCCTTGCCTTTGATTGCAGTAATAGCCCTATGAAGCAGGTAGTCAAGGATCCTCTCCTATAAAATGATAAACTAGAAGAGGTTCATGAGAATATGAGCAGAGCTTGGGTTTTTTTTTGTTGTTGTTGTTGTTTTCTGGTCGGTCGTGGGGCTTGAACTCTGGACTTGGGTGCTGTCCCTCAGCTCTTCAGCTCAAGGCTAGCGCTCTGCTTGAGCCACAGTGCCACTTGGGGTTTTCGAGTGGTTTATTGGAGATAAGAGTCTCATGGACTTTCCTGCCCGGACTGGCTTTGAACCTTGATCCTCATATCTCAGCCTCCTGAGTAGCTAGGATTACAGGCGTGAGCCACCGGTGCTTGGCGGGGTTGGGTTTTTGGAGGCTTGTGGTCGGAGGTGCCAGGTTAGAGCCCTGCACAGAGAGGAGGCAGATCTGGCACTCCATTGGCCCAAAGCCCTGGGTCGGGGCCAGGCACTGGCTTCCTTGTGGCTGCTAATAAGACATGCACAAGACAACTTGGGGTTTACCAGCTGAGCACAGATGTGTTGAGGACAGAAGTGGAACAGATGGGGGGCTCCTCAGACTTGGGTGGCAGGACTTCCAGGTCCCTTCCACTAACACTTACCCACCTGTCTTTTGTGCATGCCGCAGATGATCAGCCTTGTGAGAAAGGTAGGAGCAGTGTTTTTCCCTGTGTGCACCCGAGGCCCCTCTGTTCTGGAGCATCTGGAGCTGGAGGGGCTGCTTTTTCTGCCCCTATCTGGGTAGCTGTACCCAGATGTGTGGGGTGGGACTAGGTTCATGGCCTTGGGGACCCATCCTGTGTGCCTGACATGAAGAGGGTCATCCTTCCCTATCATCCAAAAGATGGGGGTTTAAATGTGGAAAAATGAGTGAAATAGAAGGATTTGTCCTGGGACAGCCAGACTGTGGGCTTTTTTTTTCCCCAAGCACCCCCAAACAGCTTTCCCAGAATTCACTGGCTGGTCAGGGACCAGGTCCTTCTGGGTATGAGGATGCATTCAGTGTAATCCACTCACATCCTGTCATCTGCTTGGTTCCCAGAGACCTGCGACTGCGAGGGATACTTCAAAGGGCACTATGTGGGTGAGTAGCAGGGCTCTCCTCTCTCCCAGTCCATGTGTGGCCTCAGGTGTCAGAACTAGGGAAAAAGGAAGGCAGAGCTACCTGGACCCCAGAGACTCAGCTGAACCTTGGCTGCATGCTGGTTGCCTGTAATCCTAGCTACTCAGGAGGCTGAGATAGGAAGATCATAGTTCAAAGCCAGCCTGGGTAGGAAAGTCCATGAGACTCTTATCTCTAGTGAACTACCAAAAAGCCAGAAGTGGAATTATGGCCCAAGTGGTAGAGTACTACCCTCGAGTGAAAAAAGCTCAGGGATAGTACCCAGGCTGGCACCAAAAAAACCAAACCAAACAAAATCCAAAACAAAACAGGCCTAGGAGATGCTTTTCTCTCCCATCCCCTAGTGTTTGGGTGAGTGGAAGGGAACACAGCACTATGTGTACTCCACTTTTATCATTATCATTGTGTTTTAAATTTCTGTGTGTGTGTGTGTGTGTGTGTGTGTGTGTGTGTGTGTACGCACGCGTGCACGCCTGGGTACTGTCCCTTAGCTTTTTCATTCAAGACTGGTGTTCTACCACTTGAGCCACAGCTCTATATCTGGCTTTTTACTGCTTACTTGACAGTAAGAATCTCATAGATTTTCCTGCCTGGGCTGGCTTTGAACTCTGATCTTCAGATCTCATCCTCTTGAGTTGGATTACAGGGATGAGCTACTGTTGCTCAGCTAGCAGGCAATTAACAAACAAACAAACAAAAAAAACCCAAAACAAAAAACTTTTACTTTGAAGTAACCTCCAACTTACTGAAAAAATTGTGGGAATTGTACAGAGAATTCCCATTTACTCCACATCCCACTCACTGGTTCTTAACACTCATAACTTGTTCCCTTTTCTATATATGGCCTCTTTCTCCTGAGGCTCGGGGGGACTTAGTGTCCACATCATGTCCTTTACCCTTGAATTCCTGTGTGCGATTTCCCTAAGGATAGGGACATCCTCTTATATAATATTGGGATGGTCAAATCCTGGAAATGTAACATGCTTACAGTTTTATCATCTATATATGTGGCTATTTCTAGTCTCCAGTTGTCCCAACAATATCTCTAGGAGACCTACCCCCAATCTAGAACCGCCCACTGTATTTGTACCTGCATCTCCCCGCCTCTACCCCCAGGCCCTATCACAGATTACACCATGGAGGCCCAGAGATACTGTGCCTTAGACACTAGAGAGTTTAGATGTGGTGACTACTCCATGTCTGGCTAGGTAGAGAAAGTCTTTCCTGAGGTATCATAGGCCAGACATCCCCATGTCCCCTTCCTAAGCTGGTCTTCGGAGAAGCTTCCGCCTGGGTTGCAGAGAGAGGCCAGGTAGCTCACAGGAAGGGAAGATGTCATCAGGAGCTGAGTCTCCAGAGCTGCTGACCTATGAGGAGGTGGCCAGGTACCAGCACCAGCCCGGCCAGCCGCCCCGCCTGGTTGTTTTGATTGGTGAGTGATGTCCTAGGTTTCCAGGAGGTGGGCTGGTAGGGAGGAAGATCAGCAAAGACCCCATCAGCCTGCTCTTGGTTCTAGGATCTCTGGGAGCCCGACTGCATGAGTTGAAGCAGAAGATGGTAGCTGAGAACCCACAGCACTTTGGCGTTGCTGTTCCACGTAAGAGGGCCCCTGTGGGGATTGGGGTCTTTGTGGGCACACACGAGTGGTGGGGGGAGTCCATTCCTTGTGCTTGTCTTAATATTTTTGATACTTGGGTCTGAGGGACCTTCAGGCGCCATCCACTATAGGCAAATTGTGAGACCTAGGCATGATAGGAAGGGACTCACTCTAGTGCTCCACTAAGACCTTTGAGACTCAGAGGACTCACCTCAAGGTACCACCTGCTTGGTTCTCCCTGGGGAAGGAGGTGAGTTGAAAGCACATGACAGGCAAAGTGGCAACCTTGCCCTGACAGTGGGGACCTCCACAGGAGGAGGGGAACTTCTACCCTCCCCAGCCCGATGACTGATTCTGTCCCCTTAGATAAAGGAGCTTGTGAACTGAGATAGGACATCAGGAGTTGCTTATATACAAGTCACGAGAAACTTTCAGATCTGTCCCTGGGAGGAGATCTATGATAGGAGTGGTCAGATCCATCCACTTCCAGTTACTTGACAGAGAGATTTACCTCCCCACATTTTTAAGACCTGGAGCTATCAGGGAAGGCAGTGATTTTTATGTTGGTTGTTGAAATGTAAATAGGAGTTTTCCAAACAGAAGAAAAGAAGGGTTGGCTATGGAGGGAATAGCATGTACAAAGGGATGAATGTAGAACCTGGGGTAGCTGGGCTGGGGACTGGAAGTGAAGCTGATCAGAGGTTTGTAGGTCATAAGGGTCTTACAGACTCATTAAGAGGTTTCGAATGGAAACAGTAGGTACATAAAATCATTCATTTGTTTGTCTATATTTTTTGAGGTACTAGGCATCCAATCAAGAGCCTTATGATGCTAACGAGGCAAGCATTCTGCCACTGAGCCAATCATCCAACTTAGTAAAAGTTTTTGGGTTTTCTTTGGGTCCGGTTGTGGGGCCTGAACTCTGGGCCTGGGCGCTATCCCTCAGCTCTTCAGCTCAAGGCAAGCGCTCTACTGAAGGTATTTTCTTTGAGAGTCAGCTCTGCCAAACATATCCAGTCTGTATGGAGTGATCTGTTGTCAAGTCTCTACTTTTCTCTCAGAATGAGAAGTCACTGGATAAAGAACTAATCTTCAGCAGGGCCAATTTTATTGGGAGTCTCCTTTGTTTTCAATGTAGAAAACAACGATAAGGAAGTGAGGGCCAGGAAGTTTTCAGCGATGCTTTAAAAGCTCAGCATTGCTGGTGATGTCTCACGTCCATGATTCTAGCTACTCAAGAGGCTGAGATCTGAGATCATGGTTCAAAACTAGCCTGCACAGGAAAGTCTGTAGACTCTTATCTCCAGTAACCACCAGAAAACTGGAAGTGGCACTGTGGCTCAAAATGGTAGAGTGCTCAAGGAAAGTGCCCAGACCCTGAGTTCAAGCCCCATGATAGACAAAAACAAACAAACAAATAAAAAACTTCACTATCAAAGATCACCTTAGTGACTCTGCTACCTATTGGATATGGGTCTCTAGGCACAGTGCTTCTCTGTGCCTCAGTTTTCCCCACTGCAAAATAGGAGACCTTTACATCACAGAGTACTAAGTCAAGAGTGTCAGGTACAGTACCTGACACTCAGGGATATGAATGGAGGCAACTAGTTTGTGCCTCCCTGGGGAGGCAGGGACTCACTGCTGGTCTCTTCTGCTAAGGTGGGGGTATGGGAGGCATCTCTTCATTCAGTTCCTCTTTTTCTTTCTTTAAAAGATACCACAAGGCCCCGGAAAAGCCATGAGAAGGAAGGGGTGGAATACCACTTTGTCTCTAAGCAAGCATTTGAGGCCGACTTACATCACAACAAGTATGTCCACTTGATGGGCTGGTTGCCTGTGTGCAGCAGTGTGCACTTGTATCTGTCTGTCCAGCATTGGACTTGACCTTGGGGAGGGCATGGGCTTCCTAAAAAAGGATGGGGGATACAGAAGAGTTGTATTTAGGAAGTTCTCTTTGACTTTTCTTTTTTTATTAATTTGGGAAAGCCCAGAAACTAAAGTTCTTTCCTCCTTGGGTGATGTTTTAGGTTCCTGGAACATGGTGAATATAAGGAAAATCTCTATGGAACCAGCCTGGACGCCATTCAGGCAGTTATGGCCAAAAACAAAGTTTGCTTGGTGGATGTGGAACCAGAAGTGAGTTCTCGGGCCAGTTGGGCATGTCTAGCTCATGGAATTTATAACTGAGGAGAATGGATATTTTATTGAATACCAGATGCCAGGCATCAGTGGCTTACGCTTGTAATCCTACCTACTCAGGAAGCTGATATCTGAGGATCAAGTTTCAAAACGAGCCCAGGAAGGAAAATCTGAGAGCCTCTTATCTCTAATTAACCATCAAAAAGCTGGAAGTAGAGCTGTGGCTCAAGTGGTAGAGCATGAAGCTTGAGTGAAAAAGCTATGGAACAGCACCTAGACCCTGAGTTCCGGCCCCAGTATCTAACCTTAGTCTGAGGGATCTTTAGTTTGGGAATTGAATGAAGGCTTTGAGCCTCCAAACCATGCCTTTCTATTCTCAAAGACTGCATTACTTAGAAATTATTCATGGGTCTTCTGGTGGCCCATAGACCCAGGACGGTAACTCCTGCTTGGAACCAATGATGTATTAGACTTCACTGAGCCTGTAGTTCCAACAGTGGGGAAACTGAGGCAGGAGGATTATGACCTTGTCTTTTATGGTTTCATTTGACCAACTGGACCATGACAGAGAATTAGATGAAAATACCATGCAAAGCCAAGCTGTTCTTAATGCCAGCCTGCCAGCTGGGGGTGCAGGGAGTCCCTGGGGCAGGTAATGGAGAGGGCGGTCTGGAGAGCAGTTGGAAAGGAAAAAAGGGAGGAGGATGGCCTGACTCTGAGCAGAGCTTCAAAGCCATTTCCAGTTCCGCACACACAGCCTGCTGCGGGCTCCACAGGGACCTGGCCATCTTTTTAACCTTGTCTTTCAGAAAAACTTCTAAGCTTTGAACTCAAGATGGATTTTTTTTTTCCTTTGTAGAAGCAGATCTTTGATTTTTATGGTATAAACTGTAAGCTTTATTTTACAGAAGTTGGCTTGAAACACATTTTCAAAAGCACACTTTAACTTTAAGGGAAAACTCATACAGAATTACTGGGAGCTGGTAGTCAAAATTCAAAATTTAAGTTTGAGAGAGAAAGAATGTGTGTGTATGTGTGTGTGTGTATGTGTTTTCCTGGCATTGGAACTTGATTTCAGGGCCTCACACTTTTGCTCGGCCTTTTTATGGCGGATGCTCTACCACTTGAGCTATGCTTCTACTTCTGCATTTTTACTGTTTGATTGGAGATGAATCTCATAAACTGCTGTCTGGCTTTGACCCTCCATCCTCAGATCTGAGCTTCTTGAATAGTTAGGATTTTAGGCATGAGCACTAGAATCTCAATTAAGAAAACAATTTTTTTTTGTTTCTGTTGCTTGTGGGGATTAAACTCAGGGCCTAGGTGTTGCCCCTGAACTCTATCAATCAAGGGTAGCACTCCACCACTTTGAGCCACAGCTCCATTTGTGTTTTTCTGGTGGTTAATTATAGATGTCTCATGGACTTTCCTGCTGAGGCTGGCTTTGAACCGTGATTCTCAGATCTCAGCCTCCTGAGTAGCTAGGATTACAGGCATAAGCCACCAACACCTAAGAATTTTTTTCTTTTTTCTTTTTTTTGCCAGTACTGGGGCTTGAACTAAGGGCCTGGGCACTGTCCCTGAGCTTCTTTTGCTCAAGGCTGGTGCTCTACCACTTGAGCCACAGTTTTACTTTTGGCCTTTTCTGTTTATGTGGTACTGAGGAATTGAACCCAGGGCTTCATGCATACACTACCACTAAGCCGCATTCCCAGCCCAGAAAAACATTTTTGTGATTTTATTGATCTCTATGTATATGTGCAGATAACTGCAGATAATAGTTTAATATCAGAGTTTCAAATAGGGACCCTTAACATTATATAAAAAATGGACTTGTTAATAGTGTGACTTGCAAATGGAAAACCTTCGTCTACAAGCTTGTTCCAAGCCTTCCTCATTCTTGGACTCTCAAAAGGCCCAGGTCTTGGCACAGATTCTGCTTGAGGGTAGGTAGCCAAACAGAAGGTGGCTGAAGAGATCTATGCATATCCGGTTAAACTTCTACCCACAGGATTGATCAGATGGAGAAGAGATGATTAGAACTCATCATTGATGATCATTGGCATTGGGTGAGGATTGGGGGGGGGCAGGAGCTAGACTTCTGAGCTAAGAATTGCTTTCTCAGCTGCTGGACGGCAGGGCCCAGCTGAGCACAGTGTCAAAGTGAAGGATCAGAGGATGTGTGGTTAGTCTGCCCTGTGGAAGTCCATTAGGACCCACATCACCAAGACCTAACCCACGTGGGTTAGGAGATGAAGCTTTCAGAATGAATGTGACACTATTAATTACTATTTAATTTTCCTGAATTTTTCTTCCCCAGGCACTGAAACAACTGAGAACCTCAGAGTTCAAACCCTATATTATATTTGTAAAGCCTGCGATTCAGGAGAAAAGGAAGACACCACCTACGTCCTCAGCGTGTGATGACGCAGCAGCCACGCTTGTGAGTGTCAGCATGGTCGTTGTTCTGTGGAATAGGAATACGGGGCATTCCTGTACCAGGTTGTCCTTCCATCTTGCCTCTGGTCAAGACTGAGGTGGTCACATGACTAGAATGCTTGCAGTAGTGCAGCCAGAAGGGTCTCCCAGCCCCAGCAGGGGTGGCTTTGTCTAGGCTCACTGCCCTCTGTTCCCTCACAAGAGCTTTCCATTCCCAAATAAGGGTCTGACCCCTGTGAGGGCCTGAGCTGAATGTCACAAACCACATTCAATTTGTTAAGCTCCTAAATGAAACCCATTGTTTTTTTTCAATCCAAACACCCTCATACAAAGTCATTACCATTGCTTTCAAAACAGTTTGAACTATCAGCAAATGGTAACAGGATGGCAGGCAGCCCCAGGCCCAACTGGACATAAAGTGAGACCCTATCTCAAAAAATCACCAATGCAAAAAGACACTGGCGGTTTGGCTCCCAGTGGTAGAATGGCTGTCTAGCAAGCTGGGTGTGGTAGCACACACCTGTAATCCCAGCTGATGTAGGAGGATTTGTGAGTTCAAGGCCAGCCTGGGCTGTATAATAAGAACATGTTTCAAAAAATAAAATCAAACAAATGAGTCAAGAGGACATAAGAGAAAATGAGGATACAAGAAAAAGAAGTCTACCAAACAAACCATCAGGTACACAGGAAATGCCAGTTTTGTAGGAAGTCTGACCCTTCCCTGAACCATAGACTGTCACTCAAGCAAAGTAGACTGCAGTCTTTTTCCATGTCCCTCTGGCGGGTCAGTCTTTCCATCTGGTCCATCTCCTTTATCACTCAGCAAGATGCTGCATCCATGCATGTGGGCTGATGATTATATGCATCTGCTAATGTACTTTGTTGTCTGGGTCAGTTCACCTGCTAATTATGAAATCTCACCTTTTCCTGTCCAGATGTGTCCCCCAATGTTAAAGCCAGGAGGTGGGAAAGCCATGGTGAAGCTATTCCAATACAGAAATTCTAACTCAAGAGGCTTATATAGGGGCTCAGCTTTCATTTCTGTTTTCATTTAGTTTTTGAGACCTGTTCAGCTTTTGAGTCCTGTGTCAGCTTCCCAAGTGCTGGGATTACAGGAATGTGCTACCGGGCCTAGCAGCATCTCAGTTTTTATTGTTGTTGTTGGTGGTGGTGGCAGTGGTTGAAGAGCTTAAACTCAGAGCCTGGGTACTGTCATTGTCCCTGAGCTTTTTTGCTCAAGACTAGCACTCTCTCAACTTCTGGCTTTCTGGTGATTAATTGGTGATGAGTCTCCATGGAGTCTTGTGCTTGGGCTGGCTTTGAACCATGATCCTCAGATCTCAAGTTCCCAATTAGCTAAGACAGGTATGAGCCACCCATGCCCAGCCAGCATCTCAATTTTTTTTTTCTGGGGTCCGGTCATGGGGCCTGAACTCTGGGCCTGGGCGCTGTCCCTCAGCTCTTCAGCTCAAGGCTAGCGCTCTACCACTTGAGCCACAGCACCACTTCTGGCTTTTTTTTTGCTTATGTGGTGCTGAGGAATGGAACCCAGGGCCTCATGCATGCAAGGCAAGTGCTCTACCACTGAGCCACCTTCCCAGCCCACCAGCATCTCAATTTTTAATACGTGTCCTTTTATAGGATTTTCATGTATGTAAGCAGACTCCAAAATACATCTGGAGAAGTTATTTTTAAAAGTCAGAGTTTAGTTTAATACTGAATATGTGTCTGGTCCTTGAGAACCATCCTATGGGCACAATTTCTGTTCATTTTTTTGTGACCCACAAATTGAGATTTCTACCTTCTAATCGATTAAGCTAAGCCAACATGGGGTAAGCAATGGCACAATGGAAATGAGTTACCTGAAGGGGATCTTTCTTTAGTGTTTTTTTTTTTTCAGGATTGTGACTTTTCATTGAGTGCCTGGAATCCTAGCTATACAAGATGCTGAGATCTAAGGATCATGCTTCTAAGCCAGTCAGGGCAGGAAAGTCTCTGTGAGACTCTTATCTCCAGTTAAATACCAAAAAAGTCAGAAGTGGAGCTGTGGCTCAACTGGTAGAGTGCTAGCTTTGAGCACAGTAGTTCAAGAATAGCACCCAGGCCATGAGATCAAGCCCAAGGACAGGCACCAAAAACAAAAACAAAAAAAGACTGTGACTTTTTTTTTTTTTTGAGACAGGATCTCTCTAATGTTGAGATCCCCCTGCCTCAGCCCAGGGCTTTGTACATGCTAGACAGACTACCATGAAGATATATCTTTTATAGTTTTTATAATGACCTAACCTGGGCACAAAATTGCCATATAACACAATAATTTTATTTATTTCTTGTTTATATGGTCCCGAGAAATCAAACCCAGGGCCTCATGCATGCTAAGCCACATTCCCAGCCCAACACAATACTATTTTTGTGCCAGTACTAGGGCTTGAACTGAGGGCCTGGACACTGTCCCTTAGCTTATTAACTCAGGGGTGTCACTCTGTACTTGAGCCACTGTTCCACTTTTGGCTTTTTATTGATTAATTGGAGATAATAGTCTCATGGACTTTTCCTGCCCAGACTGATTTTAACTCCTCAGCTCTCAGCTTCCTGAGTAGCTTGGATTACAGGCATGTGCCACTGGCACCTGGCTATTTATTTAATGATACAGGGCTACTTCTGTAAAACACTTTGAGGAATGAAATGTCATCTTGCCTACATATGTGGATATAAATTAGACATTCCCCAAACATGGCTTTCAGTCTGGAAATGATCAATGGCTACTTGGTGATACCAGTGGCTATGTCATGGCTATGTCTATTGCCCTGTAAGTTCCTTTGAAGTTTGATATGCTATCACTACACTCTTATTTTCCTTTGTAGTTGATTATTAATGGAGCATACACATCCACTCATGACTTTGAAGAGGAAAGGGAGTTGTGAGGGGGGAACAGCCCCAGCCATTCCATATGATCCCTTTCTTGACAGGATGAAGAGCAGCAGGAGATGGCCGCCTCTGCTGCCTTCATCGAGCAGCACTATGGGCATCTGGTGGACACCGTGCTGGTGAAAGAGGATCTGCAGGGGGCCTGCGCCCAGCTCAGAGTGATCTTAGAGAAAATGAGCAAGGACTCTCACTGGGTCCCCATTAGTTGGGTCAGGTAACTCATTTCCAGAACATACAGGCTGGAGGAGACCTCAAAGGCCATGTTGTCCAGCCTCTTTTCCTTTACCACCAATGACTGAAGTGCGGAGAGGGGCAGACATTTCCACAAACTCCATCCTCAAGAAGAGTTGAAGTGGGGAGCCTTATTTATGTTTTTTTTCCCTGTGTGTGTATCTGTATATGCGTGTGTGCGCACGTGAGCGTGTGTACATGTGTACGTGTGCCAGTACTGGGCCTTGAACTCAGGGTCTCACTCTCTTGCTTAGCATATTTCACTCAAGGCTGGCACTCCACCACTTGAGACACAGTTCCACTTCTGGCTTTTTGCTTGCTAATTGGAGATAAGATTCTTATGGACTTTTCTGGCCCAAGCTGGTTTCAAAACACAACCCTCAGATTTCAGCCTTCTAGGTAGCTAGGGTTATAGGTATGAGCCAGTGGTGCCCAGCTTGTGGTTGGTTTTTTCTGTTGTCCTCTGCACTCCTTCAGATCATGCTTTGAAAAGGGAAGTTCACACAAGTCATTCATGTCATTCTTTCAGATCTCACAGACACGTTGACCTTGACTCTTTAGACCAAAGTAGACACTGCCTTTTTTTGCTAGGGTGGTGGTGAATTGACACAATACCAATCTGTAGCGATCTTTAAACTTTATAAAACATTCTCCAGCTTTAGTGGAAGCTGAGTTGTTTCACTCAAAGGAATTTTCCATGTAGTTGAAGTTCTCTTGTCTTCCAGCCTGAAAATGTTAACTTTTTTTTTTTCAGTTAACATCTTTTTGATAGTGCTTGCCTGGTAATAGAAGAATTGAAAGTCCCACCTTTTTAAATAGTGAGCACACATGTGAAGTTTTGCTGGAAGACTGAGGCACACCTAGCCATCCTCATGAATTACTGCACTACTCCATACTACAATAGTGTCTTTTGGGACCTGTGAGGGAAGTTAAAGCTTCATGTCCCCTTTCTGAATGCCCTTATCCTCCTGAAAAAAGAGTCCTCACTTTGTTCCCACCACAGTCCTTGCTAGCCTGTCCATACCTTCAGATTACTGGGGCTTCTCCTGTGCTGGTTTGTGAGAAACCACGTAACTGCTGCTGTCAAAACTGTGTCTTACCACAATGAATCCATTCTGTCAAAATAAAAGGATATGAACTCAAGAGTGTGGGCCTTGTGATCTTCTGTCCCAAAGTGATTGACATCACCCAGGAGTTGTGATGCCTCAGCTACTCAAACAGCAAGTATGTGTGAGGCTTTTAGAGACATGATCTGATCTTTGTCTCCCAACTTGCTAGGATTACAGGCATGAGGCACTGTGCTTAGCTAGAGTATTGAATACTTGTTGTTTCCTTTTATTTTATATTTACTTATTTTTGTGCCAGTATTGGAGCTTGGAGCATGAACTCAGGTCCTGGGTGCTGTCCCTTAGCTTTTTTTTTGTTTTGGGTGGGGGGTCCAGAACTTTGGGGCCTGAACTTTGGGCCTGGGCGCTGTCCCTCAGCTCTTCAGCTCAAGGCTAACGCTCTACCACTTGAGCCACAGCGCCACTTCCAGCTTTTTTCTTTTTGCTTATGTGGTGCTGAGGAATCAAACCCAGAGCCTCAGGCATGCAAGGCAAGTGCTCTACCACTGAGCCACCTTCCCAGCCCCTATCCCTTAGCTTTTACATTCAAGGCTGGCACTGTAGATCTTGAGCCACAGCTCCCTTTCTGAGTTTTGGCTTTTTTTTTTCTTTTTGGTAGTAGTTCATTGGAGTTGAGAATCTCAGTGTTTTCTGCCCTGGCTGGCTTTGAACTACTATCCTCAGATCTCAGTCTCCTATAGTAGCTAGGATCACAGGTGTGAGCCACTGGCACCTGACTCGAGTATTGCTTCCTGCCCCCTCCCCCCAGTCATGGGGCTTGAACTCTGGGCCTGGGCGCTGTCCCTTAGCTCTTCAGTTCAAGGCTACTGCTCTACACTTGAGCCACAGTGCTACTTCCGGTTTTCTAGTGGTTGATTGGAGATAAGTGTCTCATGGACTTTCCTGCCCAGGCTGGCTTTGAACCATGATCCTCAGATCTCAGCCTCCTGAGTAGCTAGGATTACAGGCATGAGCCACCAGCACCCGGTTATAACTCTTTTCTTGTAGCAATGGTTACATTTCTCATGATCTAGTCATTTAGGGTCCTTCTGAGATTCTCTAGGCTGAACACAGATAAACCCTGTGCATGTGTGAGATGGTAACAAGAGTGTCCACATGCCTGCCAGTCTAGCTCCGATGCCCTGCGGTCATAGTGGGGTTTGCGATCACCCAGCCTCTTCAGAATGCCCTGGTTTCCCACTGTGATTCTCACTAGTTCGCGGTCCCTTACTTCTCTACTTAGGCTGCAAAACACAAGAAGCCTGAGATGAATGAAGAGGAAAGTACTTTTTTTTCCCTAGACAGGCATGCACCACCGGTTCCTGGCAATATTGAATTCTTCTCAAGTGGACTTGATCTTGGAACTATTCTGTAGAAACCCAGGCCAGGGAAGGAGACCACCTGTAAGAGGTGAATGGCATAGGCAGAGTTGTTTATTAGGCAGCAAAGCTGGCATCTAAAGTCCATTCCTATAGAGAACCACCATGGTGGAAATGGTCCCCAGCTCTCAAATCTCACTGCAGTGATTGGTCCTCCAGTCTGGACTACAGAATTGAGCAGCAGGTGATAATTCTGTTATCCTGCTTTTCATACAACTCAGTGTATATTTTCTGCTGCTTACTCTGTTTTTACACAATTCTCATATGAACTGGCAATGATTCTTTTTACCTATATGATAAAACAAGGTGCTAAAATGTGCTAGCTTAACTGCCATCAAGGTGACCTCCCTGTCCCCAGGACAAGCTGTGTCTGCAGCTGTTTTTTGGTGCTCTATCTGTGGAAAGGCTAGTGCTCTAGGGATGGAAGTCATGTAGAAGGCACATCTGTTTTTGTTCATAAAAAGCCAGTAGTTTATTTTAATGCACCTGCTCACAAATATATGTTAGTAGAATGCAATTCCAAATCCCACTCCAGCTAGCAGTACATATGTTCTGAGCTCCTGGGGAAAGTGTTTGCAAAGCTTCAGCATTCCACACCAAGAAATCCCATTGAAACCTTTCAAGATGTACTTTTTCTCCCTCCCCCTCCCTGCCGCCTCCCCCTCCCCCTCCCTCCCTCCTCCCACCCCTTTTTCCCCGCCCCCCGTCTTTATTTATTTATTTTTGGGTTTGGTCGTGGGGCCTGAACTCTGGGCCTGGGCCCTGTCCCTCAGCTCTTCAGCTCAAGGCTAGGGCTCTACCACTTGAGCCACAGCGCCACTTCCAGCTTTTTTTTTCTTTTTGCTTATGTGGTGCTGAGGAATCGAACCCAGGGCCTCAGGCATGCAAGGCAAGCACTCTACCACTGGGCCACCTTCCCAGCCCTCTCCCCTGTCTTTAAATACAGGCAAGTCTCCTACCTGTATCAACAGCCAGAGAGAATGTAAGCCCTAAAATAATTTCCTAGGTCAGGTATGTTAAATGATTGGCAGTGTGTTGCCATTCATTGTCCATATCTGGGGCAGACATCACTCATTGATCACAGAACTCTTCTGCCTATGGCTTTTTCAGGACAGTGTTCAGTTGGTTGGATTAGCAGGTATCTCCATCTTATTTAGTGTCCAGGGGCAAGTAATCTTCCCTGAAACATACTCCACTTGCTACAGAAGATGGTCTTACATGACAGGCATCAGTCATTCACAGGGCTCCAATAAGGTAAGCATTAGAGAATGGTGCAAATATCTACACGATCTAAAGTATGTAGATAAATTGTTCATCTGCTTATGCTACCTACAAGTCACAAAATCATACAATGACAGCTTTTGATGACATGTCAAATAATTACTGCAGCTGTATCAAGCCTATTTTGTGTGTGTGTGTGTGTGCGCGCCAGTGCTGGGCTTTAACTCAGGTCCTGAACACTGTCCCTTCATTTTTTCACTTAAGGATGGTGTATGACCCCTGGAGCCACACCTTCACCTCTGAACAGAAGTGTCTTATGGACTGGCTTTGAACTGAGATCATCAGCCTCCTGAGTAGGATTACCTATATGAACCACCAACGCCCAGTTTGTTTCTCTGGTTAATCTATTTCATTCCCTCCCCAACATACATACACCCTTTATATTCTCAACTATCACTTCTTTAACAGACTGATAACCAGGTGCTGGTGGCTTATACCTGTAATCCTAGCTATGTAGGAAGCTGAGATGTGAGAATTGCCAGCCTGGGCAGACCAATCTGAGAGACTGTCATCTCCAATTAACTGACCCTATGCTAGAAGTGGAAGTGTGGCTCAAATGGTAAAGCATCAGCCTTGAGCAAAAAAAGCAAGAGTGTGAGGTCCTGAGTTCAACCCCCAACACTGGCATGGGCCTGTGAATGTGCACATACACACAGAATGAAAAACCAGTTAGTTGCAAAAGGCAATGAGTGATAAGAGAAGTTTGTTATTTTTGCCTAATGCTAGAAGCTAAGCTTCCTAAGTAGGGAGAAATTTCTTATGACCACAGATGAGAGGAAGAGCCATGTCTAGAAGTGAAATAAGCTATGTATCAGACTCCTTTGAAGCTAAGGGATGGACCTAAGACCTAAGTTAGACCACTTGCATGTATCTTGCATGATGCCAGTGACACAGTATGGCGGGACAATGGAAGGCTTTTCAAGCAAAGGCAGTGGTGGGATATACCCAGTTCCTCTGTAGTGATTCTAGGCTCAGCGGTGAAGGCAGCACCTCCTCAGACCAGGCGTGCCCAGTCAGGCAATATGCAGCTGGAAGTTTGGCCCTGCAGTCTCTAGGAAATACTAATGAATTTATAGTGTTTCAAATTGATTTTGAATTGAATTTAAATTGAGTTTAATTAAATTTATATTTAATTGAATTTTAATTATCTCACTACTTATACCAGACAAAATTGGTTTTTGGTGCTTGCAACTAAGAATTCATGCTGATAGAGGCTGAAAGATAGGAGAGCCTTGTGCATCATAGTGAAACCACCAGCCCACTATGGAAAAATGGAAAATGAGATAGGGACATATTTTTGCATTAAAAAAGTGCCAGTCACAAATAAGTGAAATGTTGGCAGTAGCGTATAGAGACTGAGAAGTAGGACTTCTCAGAAGGAAAACAGGTTAGAATGACAGCCAATTTAGGTATGGGGAAGAGGAAGGCTCAGGTTAAAAAGGAGCACAAGAATGTCTCAATAATACAGTGGAACAGCTTTCTTCTTTTGGTGGGTGTGGAATTTGAACTCAGAGCCTCACAGTTGCTAGCCAGACATCTACTGCTTAGCTCCACCTAATTTTTGTTGTCATTGGTCATGGGGCTTGAAATCAAGGCCTGGGCACTTGTCCCTGAGTTCTTTTGTTCAAGATTTGTGCTCTACCACTTTGAGCTACAGCTTCACTTCTGATTTATTATTGGAGATAAGTGTCTCATGGACTTTCCTGCCTGGGTTGGCTTTGAATCGCGATCCTCAGATCTCAGCCTCCTAAGTAGCTAGGATTACAGGAATGAGCCACTAGCTCCCAGCTATCTAGTTATTTTTGAGATAAGACCTTGCTTACTGATTGAACAACCCCCATTAGATTGTGAACATCCTTTTTTTAAAAAAATTTATTCCTGCTGTAGCTAGGATGACAGGCATGTACCACTCACTGTACCTTGCTTCTTCCTTTGAGTTAATCTCATTGGCTTTTCTGCCCAGGTTGAACTGGAACTTTGATAGTCTCCCATCTCAGTCTTCCACTATTCCCAGCTCAGAGCTTAGAGTCTTGTGAACTCTTGCCTGTGCTGGCCTTGAACCCTAGGCTTCCTGATCTCAACTCAAGAGTGGCTACAAGTGTGAGCCACTGGCACCTGGCATTGCCAGGTTTTGACACTTGTGGGATCACAGCTGTAGTGGGCAGGGTGTGTGGAAGCCATGATGAAGCTACCTTTCCTAGTGTGAACTTTTTATTTATTTATTTTTATTTTGCTTTTGTTTTGTCGGTCATGGGGCCTGAACTCTGGGCCTGGGCACTGTCCCTCAGCTCTTCAGCTCAAGGCTAGCGCTCTACCACTTGAGCCACAGCACCACTTCTGGCTTTTTTTGCTTATGTGGTGCTGAGGAATTGAACTCAGGGCCTCATGCATGCCAGGCAAGCACTCTACCACTAGCCACCTTCCCTAGTGTGGGCTTTTTACAGAAGAACTTGTAGCATTTGTTTATTCCTCGTGTTGTCTAAACCTTGATGCTGTCAGGGTCAGCCTCATGTCTGTGTCACCTCACCCCACTCTTTCTTCCAGGATGGTGATGTCAGTGTATGTTTTGAGTATCCCCTGCCCTTGTCTCTACCTCTTTCCCCACCTCTCTCCCTCATTAAGACCTCTTTGCGTACCTCCAATAAAAGGCCCATTTTATGTTCTGAGCTTTATTGAAGCAATCTGAGGCTGAAAATTCAGCCATTCTGCAGTGTCTTGAGATACTATGCAGCCAAAAATTAAAAGGAAAAAAAAGAGAAAAATCCAGCATCCTGGCCAGGGAAATTTCTTGTGTCTTTTCCACAGTGTGTAGCCTTGTATTCAGTGAGGAAGAGAAGAAATGGGGAGGAAAGGGAGAGAGAGTGAGCGAGAGCGAGCGAGCGAGCGAGAGAGAGAGAGAAAGAGAGAGAGATCATTTATATAGCACTTTCCATTTTTTTCGACGAGGGAGGGAACCACTTAGTCATTACTAGTTATGTCAAATAATACAAAATGCCCAAATGACAGTACTTCAGAACAGTGACATACACTTGTAACTTTGGCACAGCTTTAAAGCCACCAAGCCTCCTGCTAACTAACATTGGAACAAATCACTTCTGCTCAGTCTCCTATAAAGCCTCAACGCTGATGACAGAAGACAATATCATTTCTTGTGTGGGGAGAAGAAAAGCCAAAGAGCTCTAAGGTTTCTGAATGGATGACCAATCAATATCTATGAGATAAGCAAAACTCTTTCCCTATACTGGGCCCCTTGTTTATTTTCTCTCCCTCTCTCTCTCCCTCTCCTCTTCCTCTCCCTCTCTCTCACCCTCTTTCCATCCCCCTCTGTGTATACTGGGGCTTGAACTCAAGGTTCTCATGCTATCCCTTAGTTTTTCCCTCAAGGTTAATGTTCTACCATTTGAGCTACACCTCTAGTAGGTTTTTACTGGTTATGTGGAAATAAGAGTCTCAGGGACTTTCCTACCAGGGCCGACTTTGAACCATGATCCTCAGCTCTTAAGGTCCATGAGTAGCTGAGATTATAGGCATGATTCACTGGCTTCTGGCTTCCTTATTTGTCATCTATGGGGCTCTTAGGGATTTGGGTGGCAACTGTGAGGAAATGTTCCATAATAAAAAGTAGACATACCTAGTCATCTTGTGAGACGATATATTTTGTTGTATTTTTGATATAGCGCCTTGAATTCTGGAAATAAAAAAATCAGAAAGGTTCCTGTCAATAACCAAGCACTGATACAGCTGAAAATCTAAATTCTAAGTTTGGCTTAGAAACACTGCGGGTGGGGATGCTTGCAAAACACTGCAGGTGGAGCTGGGTTCTCATGCCTGTAATTCTAGCTACTGAGGAGGCTGAGATCTGAGAATTACATTTTGAAGCCAGCTCAGGCAGAGAAGTCTATGAGACCTTTATCTCCAATAAACTTCTCAGAAAAAGCTGGAAGTGGCACTGTGGCTCAAGTGGTAGAGGGCTAGCCTTGAACACAAAGAAGCTCAAAGATCACACCCAGGCCCTGAGTTCAAGCTGCAGGACCAGCAAAAAACACAACAACAAAGAAAAACAGCCTGGTGTCAGTGGGTCATGCCTGTAATCCTAGCTACTCAGGAGGCTGAGATCTGAGGATCACAGTTCAAAGCCAGCCTGGGCAAGAAAGGCCATGAAACTCTTATCTCCAATAAACCACCAGAAAACCGGAAGTGGCGCTGTGGCTCAAGTGGTAGAGGGCTAGCCTTGAGCTGAAGAGCTGAAGGACAGTGCTCAGACCCAAAGTTCAAGCCCATGAACGACAAAAACAAAAAAAACTGCAGGCACCCCTTACCTTTTGCTTTTGCTTTTGTTTTGTTTCAAGGCAGGGTCTCTATATAGTCCAGCCTGGTCTCTTTATATAACCCAGGAACTTTTGATCTTGAGCCTCAGCTTCCTGAGTACTGGGACCACAGGTGGCTCCTCACCACCTCATCTCCCTTTGAAGGGTCATTCCTAAGTGAAGCCAGTCAACTACATATAGAATCATATGCCTCCATCCTTATCCATTCATCCTTATTTATGAATGAGGTATGGAGGAAGATGCTACCTAATAGTTTCTGAAATCCTGACAGGATGGCTTTTCGGTAGAGATGGCTTTAAATGTTTGTCAACAGCTATAACTCTTTTCTTTTTTTTGGTCGGTCATGGGGCTTGAACGCTGTCCCTGAGCTCTTCAGCTCAAGGCGAGCGCTCTACTGCTTGAGCCACAGCGCCACTTCCAGTTTTCTAGTGGTTGCTTGGAGATAAGAGTCTCAAGAAGTTTTCTGCCCAGGCTGGCTTTGAACCATGATCCTCAGATCTCAGCCTCCTGAGTAGCTAGGATTACAAGCATAAGCCACCAGCGCCCAGCTATAACTCTTTTCTTGTAGCAATGGTTACATTTCCCATGATCTAGTCAGTTAGGGTCCTTCTGAGATTCTCTAGGCTGAACACAGATAAACCCTGTGCATGCGTGAGATGGTAACAAGAATGTCCACATGCCTGCCAGTCTAGCTCCGATGCCCTGCGGTCATAGTGGGGTTTGCGATCACCCAGCCTCTTCAGAATGCCCTGGTTTTCCACTGTGATTCTCACTAGCTCCCGGTTCCTTACTTCTCTATTTAGGCTGCAAAACACAAGAAGCCTGAGATGAATGAAGAGGAAAATACTTCTTTTTTTTTTTTCCCAGACAGGAGTGGGTAAGGGAAGGAAGGCATAGTAGGTATGAATGCTGGGCTGCACAAGGGTAGGGGATATAACCAGGATCCTGAATCCCATAGTTCTCACACAAGGGTAGGGGATATAACCAGGATCCTGAATCCCATAGTTCTCATGGCCTGGAAGGCCTTGCAGTGCCTTCTGGGAAACATGCAAAGTTGTTGGTTTCAGAAATGACCGTTTTCATCTCTACTGCCCACTTAAGAGCTCCACTTAATTGGTCTGGGATTGAACTTGGTTACTGGCATTTTGTAAAAGTTCCCCCAAGGATCGAGAGCATCTGGTTTCTACTATGAGGAGGGAAGGGATGTCTGTGGATAAATCACAAATGGCTGATGACAAGTTCTAGATCCTCTCACTCCCTGTGGGCTTCAGTTTTCTTTGAGATATCCCAGGATGTAGGAAAGGCATCAGCATTCCTTCACGCACCTCACTCACTCCCACCAACCTTGAAAAAAGCCTTGACTAAATATTAGTATTTTTTTTGCCTTTTCTCTGTGTAAGTACTGGGTCATGAACTCAGGGCCTCATGCGTTTGCTCAGCTTTTTCATTTAAGGTTGGTGCTCTGTCACATGATCCATCCCTCCATTTCTGGCTTTTTGCTGGTTAACTGGACATAAGGGTCTCTTGGATTTATCCATCAAGGACAGCTTCAAACTGTGATCCTCAAGTCTCAGTCTCCTAAGTAGCTAGATTACAGGCGTGAGCCACCTGTGCTGGATTTTGCATTAGTATTTTTACTTAAATGTCTCCTAATTCTCGCCTTGATTTCCTAATCTTTAAGATTAGGAAATAATATACATTATTTCACCTTTTTATTCCTTGTGGCAAACTTACAATAATGAGGAATATTTGTGGAGCCAGTTTCAGGGGGACTATATTGTCATCTCAGTGATGAGGCTATGGTCTGAATGTCTGTGTACACCCAAATGCCTATGTTGAAATTCTAACCCCAAAGACATTACAAGATGAGGCTCTGGGGGTGAGATTAGCACCCTTATTAAAGTCTAAGAGAGCTGGGCACCTGTGGCTCAATCCTAGCTACTCAGGAGACTGAGATCTAAGGATCAAGGTTTAAAATCAGCCTGGGAAGACAAATCTGAGACTCCAGCAAGAAGTTGAAAGTAGAGGTGGGGCTCAAGTGGCAAAGCACCAGCCTTGAGTGAAAAAGCCAAGCAAGAACCTAAGGTTCTGAGTTCAAGCCCCAGTACTAGAACACACATGTGCACGCGTGCGCGCACACACACAGACACACACACACACACACAGGTATGTGTGTGTGCACATGTGCAAAGTCTGAAAGAGACTCTGCCCCCTCTACCCTGAGAGGCTACAGTTAAAAGAGAGCAGCTCTCTATGCAACTAGGGGTGGCTCCTCACCTATACCAATTGAATTGCCAACAGCTTCATCTTTAGATTTCCCAATTTCCAGCACTGTGAGAAATAAACCATTGTTGTTTATAAGTCACTCGGTTTATGGAATTGTAGCAGTGAACTTATGGAAATGTAACAGCAAAACCATACTGTCATTTCAAGTGCACACAGTGCATTCTTGTGACAAAATGGAACTAGACCCTGAAAAGTGTCTTAGATGAAATCAAAGGTAGAGAATGGCTTCCGGTGTTGAAGTCTTCCTTCTCTCTGGCCTGATATCTTTGGCCCTCTCCCACTAAGCCAGTGGTCCTCCTGCTTGAGAGTATACTGCACTTACAAACTAGAGGGAAAATCCAGTTTGGCTTCTGAAACAAACAAAACAAAACTGTCCTGCAGAGAAAGAACACTACCTTCTGGATAAATATTCATTCCAGCAGTCCACTTGGGCAGGGCCTCGATGCGCATTGGCAATTTTCTGACATAGCTGCTTATTTTCATACTCGATTTTGTCAATTTTCTTTTGCTCACTCTGGTAAGAAAGTGATCACATGACTATATTGTTCCCACCCACAATGGCTGAGCATTAATCCCCCCAGCTCCAGGGATGATAGGAAAGGGGCATACTGGGGGTTCCAGGGATCATGGACCCATGTTTAGAAAGCCAAGTATGCTGAGTATGGGGGACAGAGTGTTAGGTAGGTATTTAGAAGGATCTGGGGCATTGGATCACTTTAGGACAAAGATAAAAATCAGCTGATGTTAAGAACAAATACCTGTAGTTTGCTCAATTTTAAAATGTGAGGTGAATGGGCCAACGGTGGTTTGGTATCAACTGCCGGCTTCACTGGAACAGATGATAGAAGAACAATGTTACACACAGGAATCCTAGAAGTCTCCCTAAACCATGCCCATCCCAGGAACCCTACAGTGTGGAATTCTGACCCTGCAATGTCTAGCAGTTTCAACTTGGTTGAATTTTCCCAACTAACATTTTTTTTTTGAGCAGAAGTGAAAATAGGGTGAAGTCTAGAAAAAAAGTTTATTTGTACAGTTGATTACTCTTTCAATAAAACAGCCTCTCTCTCATTCAATTGGTCACTGAAGTCCTATAATCTAAATCTCTTAGATGAAACCTAAAACTTTTTTTTTGTCAGTGTGGGGCTTGAACTCTGGGCTTGGGCACTGCCCCTGCACTCTTCAGCTCTACCGCTTGAGCCACAGCAACACTTCTGGTTTATTGGAGATAAGAGTCTCATGGACTTTCCTGCCCAGGCTGGCTTTGAACCATGAACCACCCTCAGATCTCAGCCTCCTGAGTAGCTAGAATTATAGGTGTGAGCCACTGGTGCCCAGCTACACCTAATTTTTTAAATACCAGTATAAAAGGGGTATATTGTTCAGTATATTGAACTGAGGGTTTCATACTCTAGCTTGCTTTGAAGCCAGCCTGGGAAGAAAAGTCCATGAGATTTAACCACCAAAAAGCTGGAAGTAGAGCTGTGGTTCAAGTGGTTCAAGCTAGCCTTGAGCAAAAAAAAGCCTAGGGACAGTATTCAGGACCTAAATTCAAGCCCCTGTACACACACACACACACACACACACACACACACACACACACACACACACTCACAGACTTTCCTGCCTGGGGTGACTTTGAACAGCAACCCTCAGATTTTTGCCTCCTGAGGAGCTAAGGTTTTAGGCATGAACTACTGGTGCCCAGCTCTAACTCTTGGATTTAAAGAGTTTAAAACGTGTGTTTCTATAATATGGAATTCCCTGATGGATAAAAAAAATTTTGATAGCCTTATTTATGAAGATCAGTAGAGGACATATCTTCCTGCAGCCAAACATTGTCCTGACTTATTGTCAGCATTTCTATGGTGACCCCTCTGGTACCTCTAATGATAGGGTCTAGCCCCAACTGCCCACCTACCTATTTGTACTCTATTCTTGTGAGATGCATAGTTGCCGAAATCCAGTTTTTTCTTGAAGGTTGTGGTTTGCCTATGATTAGAAACAATAACAGGATAGGCTAGATAATCCAGGGAATTGTTCATCTTCTCTACCTACTTTCACTTCAGAAATGAGGTATGTAGGCTCCTCTGTGAGGTACTAAGCCATTTCTATGACAGGTTGTCATAGCTACTCAGTTATGACATCAAGGACAAGTCTTAGAATAGCAGCTGTAGAGCACTCCTGGGTGTCTCTTGGCATCTGCTTTTTAAATTTATTTTTTACTTAAGTATTCTTGAAACGGACATAAAATTTGTGTATATTTATGAGATGCAGAGTTAGTAATTCAATATAGGTATATAATGCTTAAGATCAAATCAGAATAATCAGGGTTTTTGTTTTTTGTGCCAGTACTGGGGCTTGAACCCAGGACCTGGGTTGTTTTTTTTCTCAAAGCTGGTGCTTTACGACTTGAGCCACACCTTCACTTCTGACATTTTGCTGGTTAGTTGGAGAGAATAGTCTCACTGACTTTCCTGATCAGGCTGGCTTTGGACCATGATCCTCAGATTGTAGCCTCCTGACTAGCTAGGATTTCAGGCATGAGCCACCAGCACTTAGCTCGATATTCAGCATTTCAGTCTCTTCTACTATTTCTTATTCTATGTGCGGGGCTCCTTTGTCCAAGAATAAACCTGGATGCATGTCAAGATAAGGGATGAGGGACTCAGGAGCTCTCACCTGCCTGAAATGTAGGTACTGGTGACACTGGAAGAAAAGGAAAGTGTGCTGGGATGGGTAGGATGGACCAAGTGTGGTGGGAAGAGGGAGAATTCTGAGCCTCCATGACAGACCTGGGTCTATAAGCCAAGTAGTCTCTAGTGCCATGGTTTCCTCAAACCACTGGCTTTTCCAGAAAGTGTAGGAGGATCTGAATGGTAATTTGAACCAATTCCTTCATTTTGCAGATAGAGACACAAATCCAGAGCAGCAGCAAATTAGCTTGAGAACTAAATTAGTGACAGAGCTAGATTCAGAATGTGGGCTTTTGAATTCTAGGACTATATTTGCCCCATTAGAGAAGGAAATCTGCCTTTCATGGCAGTGGGGGAGAGATCTGCTTTCTTCTGGGGGCAGAGATTGTCATTGGTCCTTAGTGGGAGCTCTGGAAGGGCTGAGCTGCTGACCCCATGGGGCTCAAAACAGCCTGCTCTAGGAAGGGCTATTAAGGAGAATGAATTTTCTCCACACAAGCACAGGGTGATAGGACTAACACAAATCACTATTGGTGCTGATGCTTTTATCTTCCTCCCTCCTCTTTCCTTTCCTTTTTTCCTTCTCTCCCCCTTTTCCTTCCTTCTTTTCCTTCTCCCTCCTTCCCTTTTTCTTTCCTTCCTTCCTCCCTTCCTCCTTCCTTCAAGAGGATCTTACTATGTAGCCCAAACTTGGCCTCAAACTAGACCTGCCTCAGCCTTCTGGGTGCTGGGATTACAGGCTAGGCATGTTCTTGAAGGTCACATTTAAGCTTTTTTTTCCCTCTCCCCTGGTCCTGGGGGCTGAACTCTGGGCCTGGGCGCTGTCCCTCAGCTCTTCTGTTTAAGACTAGCACCCTACCACTTGAGCCAGAAAGCCACTTTCTGGCTTTTTTTCTGCTATGTGGTGCTGAGGAATCGAACCCAGGGCCTCACGCATGGGAGGCAAGCACTCTATCACTGAGCCAACTTCCCAGCCCACATTTAAGCTTTTGAAACAAGACTAGGAGTTAGATGCTCTGTATCCCTTATTGGAAAGAGAATATATGTAATGAGATATCAAGGGTCTGAAACCCAAGTCTAAATACAATTTTGTACAGTACTTTCAGTATGTCTGCGTTTCGACTATGACCTGTTACAGAAGGTAAGTCGCAAAGGATTGCCCTTGTGGCATGTCCACACTCAAAAGTTATAGATCTTGAAAACATTTTAGATCTCCAGACCAGGAATTCTCAGCTTGTATTATTATTATTTCCTTTTTATAGTTAGCAGTAAAGGTAGGAGAGGTTAAGTAATTCCTGGGGGTCAGAACTTCAAGCGTGGGCTTGCAAAGAAAGGCAAACTTTTTTTTTTTCTTGTGCCTATTACTGGGGCTTGATCTCAGGGCCTGGGCGCTGTCCCTTAGTTTTTTCTGCTCAAGGCTGGTGCTTTACCACTTCAGCCAGAGCTCCACTTTGGGCCTTTTGTTAATTAGAGATAAGAATCTCATGGACTTTCCTGACTGGCTTTGAATTTCAATCTTCAGATCTCGGCTTCCCTAAGTAGGGAAGATTACAGACGTGAGCCACTGGGGCCTGGCTAAGCTCACACTTTCAAGCTCCATGCTGACTTGCCTCTCGTTGAAAATAGCTGTGCCTCAGAGTTGGGGATTCAAAGACTTAGACTTACCTTGGGGCCGGTAAACTGGGCATGGACTCAGCAGATCTGGGGTGGTGAAAAGTCTGCATCTCTGACCTGGCCGGGGGTTGGGGTTGGGATGTCCCGCAGCAGGGACAGATCTCAGGGCTGAATCCTAGTATCCCTGACATCCTGAAAAAGCACCTTGGCACTCTGCATTTGGTTGCAGTGAAGGAAGCTTCTGTGATCCCCAGCTTATGAACTGCTTTAGCATCAGGGTGGGAGAGGACAGGCAGCTTTTCCGCGACAGACCTGCTGCAGGATCCTGAAGGGGCGAGGGAGTGGGGTGGTAGGCGTCCGCGCCACGAGGAGGTGGCACCGCCCCCACCCATGGCTCCGCCCCACCATATGACTCCGCCCCAACCCATGGCTCCGCCCCTACTCACCACGCCCACCACAGCCCCGCCCT